CCCAACGCCGCGGCTTCCCTGTGAGTGGGCGCTCGGCCCAGGTCTGAGGCTCTGGGGGCTGTGGCCAGCACTGGGGGCGTTGGGTGGCAGGAACTGCAGGTGCTGAACAGGAGCCCCCGGAGTCCAAGGCCCTCTGCTGGGCCGGCTCCGTGGACCAGGCCGCTGTGCCAGGTGCCCTGCCGAGGCTGTGGGTTTCCAGGCACCGCTGCTGCCATTGTGCTCTCCGGGCGCGCACTCTTGCTCCGTTGCCCCCCTGGTCTCCAGAACTTCCCCACGACTGATACTTCAGCCTTGGCCAGGGCCCCAGTTTGCTCGAGAGCCTTCAGGCACTGCTGTGGCCCAAGGGCAGTTTCTGCCTGGATGTGGGAGGCCCCAGTCCAGTTCTGGGCCTCTGGGGCCGTGGTTCCTTGTGGTCCAGGCCGGGTCACAGGGCTGCACTGGCACAGACAGGATGGGATTGTCCCTGGAGGCAGGCGCAGGCGCATCCCCAGGGCTCGGGCTGCCCCTGTGAGAGGTCCTCTCGGAGGCCTGTCCTGGCTGCGGGATAGAAGCTACCTGAAGGAGCTGGAGGGAGGCTGCTGAGGCCAAGGCCACGGCCCAGGCCAGAGCCCTGGCTCCACGGAAGCCAGCTCCATGCCCCTGTTCCCGCGGTTTAGACACATCCCAGCTGGACTGTGGACACCCCTAACCCCCCACCCTGGGAGAACCAAAGCCACCTAGTGGGTGCCTGAGGGGTCAGCTCCAGAGCAGGTGGCCTGGGTTCTATTCCTGCTCGCTACTCAGGAACCGAGGCCTGGGCGTGGCTCAGCGCGTCTGTGTGCAGTGGCCTCATCAGCGTTGGCTGGGGACTGGATGAGGGCCGAGTCAGCGCTGAAGGGCCTGGGTTGGCCCTCTGTGGGGTAGAGGGAGCAGCAGGCAGGCCACCATGGTCACTTCTGTGCTCGGTTTCCTCATCCGCCACCTCCCAGGGTTCCTGTGGGGACTGAACTGGTAACACCATGACACGCTTGGCACAGGGTCGCCAGTGCCTGGCATGGGGGCTGCAGTGTTCTTACTGGGTTGGCGAGACTGAGTTGCTGGCTTTGAGGGTTCAATACGATGCCCAGCGTATCCCCAGAGAGTGCTGGAGCTGACCCGCCTTCGGCCCCATGGGCACCCCTGGTCTGGCCCGCCCTCCGCCTCCCTGGAGGTCAGGCCCTTCCTGCTGCTGGGCCTGGGTGGAGTGAGACTTGAGACGCAGACTCTTGGAGCGTGTGAGAGGAGGCGCCCGGGGCCTGGGCGTGGACTGTTGGAATTTTCCAGCTCAGAGGAGCCAGTGGTCTGCCTGGGAGACTGTTTACTCGCCGGCCCTCCCTATCCACACACTCACCTTTGCAGACAGCCAGCTCCTTCCCCAGGCCCCCGCTGGTGTCGGTGTCTCAGGGCTGCCATGGAACCCACCATTTTCGCCCTGGCCCCCCCACCCCCCTGCAGAGGTGTCCCTGGGCCAGCGGAGACGCCCTTTCCTGCCCGAGGTTAGCAGGGGGGGACAGGAGGGGACCACACCCCTTCCTTGTGCTGCTGTCCCACTGGGGACCCCAGTGTCTTGTCCCCACACCAGTCAGAGCCGTGTGAACCCACCTCCAGGCTCTGGGCCCCCTTTCCCCGTAGGAGTCAGGAGTTGGGGTGCTGGTAGGCAAGCCCAACCCCCCATGGGGTCCTCTGTCCTTAAGACCCTCTGGGTTTGCGATGCTATTCGAGGGCCATGACGAGTCCTTCCCACTCAGTGGCTGTGTCCCCATGGGAGACGAGAACGCAGCCAGCCAGCCCTGGGGGCCTCACTCCGGCTGTGTCAGGCCCTCTGGGGTAGCTCCGCCCTGGAAGGAGGACTTTGCAGGGGCAAGGGCTAGACTGCCAGGTGGGAGGTGGGTCCATCCCGCCCTCGGGCTGCAGCGTGCTGTGAGGTCTCTCAGTGAGACCCTTCTCCAGTCAGGGGGGGTCCAGCCTACAGTCCAGCCCCAAGCGAGACCCCGTGGCAGCTGCTCCTCTATGGCCTGCTCAGAGGAGGCCGACAGGGCAGCCACCCCTGGGCCTCCCGCCCTCTGGGGACCCGCGGCCTCGGGCCCACAGACACCCACTGTTGAGCACTGTGTCGCCTTGTGTGCCGCCCCGCCCGCACATCTGCAGGCCCTCCCGCGCACAACGGGGCTGTGTTCCCAGGCCAGCATGCCCAGGAGGCCCGGAGTCTGCACTGCCCTCCACGCTGTGGCCACGCCTCCCCACGCGTGCCAGGCATCAGCTAGGGCCGCCATGGCAGGGCTGCTCCCCTCTGGAAGGATGGTGTGCTGTCGGGCGAGAGTCCTTGGAGGACTGTGGGTCACAACTGAGCTGGGTGGCAGGAGAGGCCTGGTGGGGAACTGGTATCTTCGGGGCCAGGCCGGGTGTCAGACCCTGGTGCGCTTGGAGCAGGGGTGGCGCCCCTGGTGGGGAACTGGTATCTTCGTGGCCAGGCCTGGAGTCAGGAGACCCTGGTGCGCTTGGAGCAGGGGTGGCGCGTGGCCCCCGTCTCGGGGCAGCTGGGGGACGAGGGCTTCCCTCAACCTCGATTCCTCTCCCTGAAGTGCCTGGACCACTCCCCAGCGGCGTACTCTCTGCTCCTGGAGGAGAAAGGGGCAGCCCTCAGGAGGGGAGGGGTTCATGCCCGCTGCGCCTGGGGTGTCCTGGGACCCAGGAAGAGAGAGGCCCGTCTTTGTGCCTGGAGCCGCAGGCCTGGCCTGGTGGAGCCTGGACTCTGCCTTTCCTCCAGGCCAGGTGGCGTTGGAGGAGCCAGCTCAGGTGTCAGGGCAGCTGGGGGATGGGCTCTGCTCTGGGAGCCTGGGAGCCTGGCCTGTGAGCAGCTGCCTGGAGGGCTGCCGGGAGGAGCCCAGGAGGCCCAGGAGGGGTGGCCTGCGAGCCGTGTTGCCACCAAGTTGCTAAGGACACAGGCGTGGAGTCAGTCCTGGTGCGAGCCCTGGCCTTGCTGGGATTAGCTGTCCAGACGAGATTCTAAGCCCTCTGCCTCAGCATCCCCACTGAGGGCATGGGGTGGAACCCTCCCTGTCCGGGGTGTGGCAGGCAGCGTGCGGCCTGTGCCTGGTGTGCGAGGCCACCGTCAGGGACACAGCTCTGCCTTGGGCTGTGACATCCAGCGGTCGGTCCGAGTGCTGAGGGCGGGAGTGAGCCCTAGAGGGGCCAAGGCAGCCCTCAGGCCCGGCCGGCCAGGCCTGTCTGCAGCCCTCAGGCCCTGCTTCAGTGGGGGCGTGCCTGCCCCAGGACCTGTGTGTGGAAGGGGGTCAGCGCTGCAGCCGTCTTGGCCCTGGCCACCCCTAGGTCCGCCGCTGACTGGGACAGGCTGCTCGGCTCCTGGCTGGCCGCCCTCTCGCTGCCCTGCCTGGGCCCCATGCTCATCACAGCACACGCAGACAGACGCAGTCACCCCCCCGTGCCTGCCTAGGGCCAGCCGGGACAGCCCAGTGGCGAGGGAAAGGCAGAAGAGAAAGCGCCACCGCCCAGGCCCTGTGTCCCGTGTAGCCTGGCTTCTGTGGGGGCTGCCCAGGGCACACGGTCTGCGGGCTCAGGGCTGTGCTGCGTGGGGTCCCTGCTGAGGCCCCGGCCCGGAGCCCTGTGCCCTCAACTTGGTGTCCCTGTGAGGGCCCATTCATGCCACCTGCCCACGGCCCCATGGCGGGGGGTCTGGGGAAGGCAGCCCTTCCTGGTCCTCAAATGAGCACAGCTGGGTGGACAGAGGCTTCGCACACCTGCCCCAGGTGGAGCAGTGGGACAGACCGCAGGACATGCTGGGAGCCTTCTGGGAGGGGGCAGGCACCTGCAGGGCGCCTTCTCGGAAGAGGGAGGGAGCACTGAGCTGGGGGAGAAGAGATGCGAGAAGCCTTCTTGGAAGAGGCGGCATTGAGCTGGGGGACTCCAGGAGGTGGAGGTGGCAGAGGCCTGGGGCGCCGCGGTTCTGGCCATGGTGGGTGAGCTGCAGCGCGTTCGGGCCTCGGTGGGCAGCAGGTGAGTGCAGCAGGTTCCCAGTACTTCACCCCAGGGGACGCGGCCGCCACACTTGTCCGGGGCAGGAGCTGGGGGGGACCTGTCCTACAGGACATAGCATAGCCGAGGAGGGTGGCAGCCCACATGGCAGAAGGGACAGGACCCCACGTCCACCTGTCCTGCTGTGGGCAGCCCACTCTGGGCCCTGCCTCCTGGGTTGGGGTGGCTGATGGCCTCATCCTTCTGAGGCTGGGTCAGGTCTCATGGCTTTCCTGAGAGGCAGGGCCTCCTCCCCTCACCGGCCGTGACCTCACTGCTCCTCCCTCGGTCCCTGTGGAGAGCTAAGTGGTGCTGGGTTGGGACCGAGGTGGCTCCGGGAGACAGAGGCCAGGCCCTGGGCTTATCTGCCCGCACTGCGAAGTCAAGCCCTCCTGAGGGGTGCGGCCTGCTTACAGGGGGCCCCTCCTCCCGGTCCTGCCGCCCCTGCGGTCTCTAACTGGTGGGTCTGAATGCCACCCACAGGCCATCAGCATCAGCAAGGCCATCAACAGCCAGGAGGTCCCGGTGAAGGAGAAGCACGCCCGGCGTATCCTTCCTGCCCGCGCCGTGTCCCGGCCGGGAGCAGAACGGGGCTCCCACGAGGTGCAGGGTGGCCAGGCCTGGCAAGGGCCCTGCTGGGCCTCCAGGCCTCATGGCAACGGACGAGACCTTGCCCTGCCCTGCCCTGGGCCTCCTGTCCAAAGCCCTGCCCCTATGCCCCGGGCAGGCAGGGAGGGTGAGAGGCGCAGGGAGGAGGCGGTGGTGACCCTCCCGTGGTCTCTGGGGCCTTGTCCAGCCACCTGCAGGTGGGAATCTCTGCCCGGCACTTGGCCTTGACCCTGGCAGGCATCATTCTGGGTACCCACCACGAGAAGGGGGCCTTCACCTTCTGGTCCTACGCCATCGGCCTGCCCCTGCCCCGCAGCGCCATCGGATGGCCACCCCAACGTGAGCTGCCGCCCCGCCCCGCCCCGCCCCGGGACAGCACAGGGAGGTGTGGGCCTGGGCCCAAGGGAGGCCAGCCCCATCGCAGGGCAGCCGAGCCTGCCCACCTTGGCACTGGGTGCTGCCTCGAGTGGGGAGTGGGTTTCGGGACCCCTCGCACAGGCCCCACGCCCTTCTCCCCACCCTGGTGCAGGTGCTGCATGACTGCCAGCGGTATCGGAGCAACATCAGGGAGGTCGGTGACCTGTGGGTAGGTGTCCAGAGGCCTCACGGGGGTCCGCCGAGGCCCTGCCTGGCACGCGGCCTTGTGGGCACCGGAGGCTTGGCCGGCCTACAGCCGAGGTCAGCGGGTCGCATTGCCGGGAGGCAGCGGGACACAGGCAGTGAATACGATGTCACGGCCTGAGTTTTAAGGCCTGCTGCTGCCGTCCAGTCACGGAGCTGATGGCCTCGCCATGGGACGCATGGCAGCACAGGCATGCACGGGCCTGAGACGCTGGAGCCCGCGTGGGGCGTCCCCCTGAGCATGCTGGTCTGAACTGTCGGCTCACCTGCCTGCCGATTCTGGCGGGGGATTAGAGCCCCTGGACGGAGAGGGCCTCGGGCCTGCTTCTCTTCTGGGGTGGCCACTGGACAGGGACGAGAGGGAGGCCCAAGCCGGAGCCCGCATCCCATGGACGACCTTTGCAGCGAGGAGGGTGGTGCCCAGGTGCTGTCGGCAGGTGTGGGCCCGCTGGCTGGCTGCGGGGCAGGGAGGCAGGGAGGCAAGCTGGGAGGGCGTCCAGCGCCACTCAGAGCGTCCTCCCCTCTGCCACCAGCACTTTAATGAACCGCCCCAACTCGGAACTGGCCTGTGGCCCTGGACTTGGAGCTCTCCTCTCAGAGTTTCTTTGGCAAGAGTGACAAGGAATACGATTTAAAGGGAAAAAAATAAACGGGGACAAAGGGAGATTGCTGGAGGCCGGTAGAAAACAAAACGTTTGTTGAATGACTAAGTGAGGTGGAGGAGAGGCTCTTGGCTCCTCCGCTTTTCCCTGCCTCAGTCCCCTCGTTGGCTGAGTTTACTGAACGTGCCCAGGCCCTGCAGGTTCTCGGGCGTGTCGTGGAGCAGGGCCCTCACCCGGCTGTCCCCACAGGGGCATCTGCATGACCGATATGGACAGCTGGTGAGCGTTTACACCAGGCTGCTGCTGACCAAGATCTCCTTCCACCTCAAGGTAGTGCCCGGGGGTTGTGGGTCCCCGCGCCAGCCCCTCCATGGTGTCCTTGTGCACGTGCTGGGGTGTTGGGGGCCTCTCCACTCACCTCCTTGTCTCAGCCATAACCACAGGGGAGACAGGGAGGCCAGGACCTCCTTGAAAACGTCCTGAGGAGGTGAGGGTGGGGCGCAGCCCTGCCCTGGGCCCCAGCAGCCTCAGCTGTCCCGGCCACGCGTGCCCCACTTCCCAGTTCCCCCGCGGCCGGCCCTGCCAGCCACACGGGGTGACGGGCTTCTGCCCTGCCTCTTCCTCGTGAGAGAACACTGGAGCCCAGGCCTCCCGGGAGCATGGTTAGGACTGGCTGCAGCGGCCGGGGGTTCTCTCCGCAGCACCCCCAGTTCCCTGCAGGCTTGGAGGTGACAGATGAGGTGCTGGAGAAGGCAGCTGGGGCTGAGGTCAATAACATGTGAGTGTCGGTGCCGTGTGTGGCCTGGGGTCCCCCCCCCATCCTCCCTAACACTGCACAGCCGGTGGGGGGAGGCTCGCAGATGGAAGGCAGTGCTCCCAGGACAGAGGCCAGAGCGCAAGGGATGGGAATCTGGGCCCTGTGGTTCTGCGTGAGCGGGCATGTTATCCCCTAAGAGTGGGGGGTCTCGGGTCAGGCGAGTGGGCCCACCCTGATCCCGCCCCCTAGCTTCCAGCTGACCGTGGAGATGTTCGACTACATGGACTGTGAGCTGAAGCTGGCCGAGTCAGGTGAGCGGCCGGGGGGAGCTGGGGCGGGGGTACTGTGAGTGCCCGAGTGGGACTAGGGGACAAGGGAGGGCGTGAGTGGCCAGACTCGCTTAGCATTCTTCAGGGTACTGCCCTCTGGGCCCCACCCTCCCCACCCCTGGAAGAGGTGTTGGGCTCTCAGTGCCCCCGAGCACCCAGCACGCCTGCCAGGCCCCAGCTGGGCGCCCAGGGCATGGTCTCAGCTGGCCCTCCGCCCAGTGACGCCCACTGTCGGCCCCAGGACAGGGAGTGTGGACGTGGGCTTCGGGACCACCTCTGCTTTCTTGGCCTGGCCTGGGGTGTCTGAGCACCGCCCAGGGGAGTGGGTTTGGGTCTGCTTGACCATTTTCTGCTCTAGAAAGCCTCTGAGCCACGTTAGACTCCCTCGCCCGGCACCTGGCAGCCACTGGCCAGGAACTCTCGGACGGCCCGCCCACCAGGGCTGGAGTGCTGCTGGTTCTGGGCGGCAACATCTGAGTAACCCGGTGACTCAGTGCTCTCCATCGGGGCCGAAAGAAATGCCCCTTTAAGGGAAAACCGGCGACTGGAGAGCCTGGGTATCTGCCTGCATCCCGCTCCGGGCCGGGTGGTTGGGCCGGGTGGTCTAGCGTGGCAGGCTGTCGTTCCCGGCGAGTGCAAGGTCAGCTCGGAGCAGGCCCCGTGGGGCAGAGGGCAGGTGCCCGGGGGTGGCCCACATCGTCAGACACCTCCCAGCAGGACTGTCCCAAACCCCAGCCCTTGCAGCTCAGAGGCCCCCAGGCTGGAGCTGGGTTTCCTGCTCCCCACCCCGGCATGGGAGGATGGTGTGAGCAGATGGTGGCCCCCGGGGAAGTGAGAAAACTCGCCGGCATGCCCCAGCCCCAGGGACTGACGTGTTGATGGGGCACAGAGAGGGCATGCCGACAGGCCCAGCCTCAGTGTCTCCTGAGTAACCTCCCAGATCTGCTCGAGCAGGGTGCAGGGGTGCCCACTGTGCTGACCGTAACAGCAATCACCGGGATGTCCCCGATGGTCCAGGCACGGGGGAGGAGGGCAGCCGTCGGGCCAGGTTCCTGACCCGCGGCCGACAGTGCTAGGAGATGCCCTGCGGTGTGAAACGGAGTAGGTGGGCCAGCAGAGCCCAGAGCAGAGCCTGTGAGTGCTTAGATTTCCCAAGGAGCTGAGCGCAGGCAGCACGACGTGCAGTAGGAGGAATTCATAGGGACCAGCAGATGGCGTAATGGTTACGTTGCTGGACTCCCATGTAATGGACTATGGTTCGAGTCCCGGACCTAGTGATTTAAAACTCAGGCCAGGCACATGTGCATGCGTGCCCAAAATCCTGAGAGGAGAATGGAAAAGGGATTGCGGCATAGCGGGGGTGATTTCTCGCTTTCTCTCTCTCTGTGTATCTTTCTGGAGAATGCATGCACCCTACAGCAAAAGTCTCTCTTTAAAAAAAGAAGTGAATGAATTTGTAGAGAAGGTACAGGCTGGCCCTGGGCCACCTCCTCCCCGTCCCCTCTGTCCCAGGCCCTCTCCTGTCCCAGCAGAGGTTTGCAGACAGTCCCACCCGAGCAAATAAGAGTGAGACCTCAGGCAGGCCCGGCTGTTCCGAGCAGTGACCTGGCATCCGTCCAGCGTGGGACCACCTGGCCGTGCCCCACCCTCGCAGGCTGCCTGCACCTGCCGTCCCTCTCTGCCATGAGGAGGCCACCTGCGTTTGTCCCTTTTCCCTCCTGCTGGTTGTAGTACAAGGCCCGATTGTCAGGGGGGGTCGTTCCCAGGTGCATGTGAGGTTTTGGGGTCACTTGGGGTTTGCAGAGCTGGGTGTGACTTGACCAGCCAGGCCTGTGTCCGTTTCTGGAAAATGTGGCATTTAGGCCACAGCCTTTTTTCAAGTTTTCGTTGATTTCTTCCATGAGAGCAGGCTGGAGACAGAGTCGGGCACTCCCGACGGGGTCTTCACACCGCGATCCCCCTGCCGGTTTCAGCTAGTCTAGGTTAGGGGCACGTACCACCCGCGTGGGCCTCCTGGGCATGCGTGACGCTGGGCCCTGTCCCACGTGGGTCCGGTTGTGTTACCGTCACCTGGCTGAGGACCACGGGCTTGCTCCTCCCTTCTCAAAGTTCCCAGCAGGTCTGAGGCCTGTGGACACAGCTGTCACCGCGTCACCCTGCCCTCCTCACCCCGACCTCATTCACAGGGCCCTCACCTGCCCGGGCAGCCCCCAGCACAGGGGACTCCCCCTTAGCCACCTCCCAGATCTGCTCGAGCAGGGTGCAGGGGTGCCCACTGTGCTGACCGTAACAGCAATCACCGGGATGTCCCCGATGGTCCAGGCACGGGGGAGGAGGGCAGCCGTCGGGCCAGGTTCCTGACCCGCGGCCGACAGTGCTAGGAGATGCCCTGCGGTGTGAAACGGAGTAGGTGGGCCAGCAGAGCCCAGAGCAGAGCCTGTGAGTGCTTAGATTTCCCAAGGAGCTGAGCGCAGGCAGCACGACGTGCAGTAGGAGGAATTCATAGGGACCAGCAGATGGCGTAATGGTTACGTTGCTGGACTCCCATGTAATGGACTATGGTTCGAGTCCCGGACCCAGTGATTTAAAACTCAGGCCAGGCACATGTGCATGCGTGCCCAAAATCCTGAGAGGAGAATGGAAAAGGGATTGCGGCATAGCGGGGGTGATTTCTCGCTTTCTCTCTCTCTGTGTATCTTTCTGGAGAATGCATGCACCCTACAGCAAAAGTCTCTCTTTAAAAAAAGAAGTGAATTTGTAGAGAAGGTACAGGCTGGCCCTGGGCCACCTCCTCCCCGTCCCCTCTGTCCCAGGCCCTCTCCTGTCCCAGCAGAGGTTTGCAGACAGTCCCACCCGAGCAAATAAGAGTGAGACCTCAGGCAGGCCCGGCTGTTCCGAGCAGTGACCTGGCATCCGTCCAGCGTGGGACCACCTGGCCGTGCCCCACCCTCGCAGGCTGCCTGCACCTGCCGTCCCTCTCTGCCATGAGGAGGCCACCTGCGTTTGTCCCTTTTCCCTCCTGCTGGTTGTAGTACAAGGCCCGATTGTCAGGGGGGGTCGTTCCCAGGTGCATGTGAGGTTTTGGGGTCACTTGGGGTTTGCAGAGCTGGGTGTGACTTGACCAGCCAGGCCTGTGTCCGTTTCTGGAAAATGTGGCATTTAGGCCACAGCCTTTTTTCAAGTTTTCGTTGATTTCTTCCATGAGAGCAGGCTGGAGACAGAGTCGGGCACTCCCGACGGGGTCTTCACACCGCGATCCCCCTGCCGGTTTCAGCTAGTCTAGGTTAGGGGCACGTACCACCCGCGTGGGCCTCCTGGGCATGCGTGACGCTGGGCCCTGTCCCACGTGGGTCCGGTTGTGTTACCGTCACCTGGCTGAGGACCACGGGCTTGCTCCTCCCTTCTCAAAGTTCCCAGCAGGTCTGAGGCCTGTGGACACAGCTGTCACCGCGTCACCCTGCCCTCCTCACCCCGACCTCATTCACAGGGCCCTCACCTGCCCGGGCAGCCCCCAGCACAGGGGACTCCCCCTTAGCCTTGGGGGCTCGTTGGCATCTGCTGGTCCGCCCCCACTTCCCAGTGGGACGAGCTTACACGGGTGATGTCGGCCGTCGCCTCCCTCACACCGGCCTCCCGGCGGCTGTGGCGTGCGGCCTGGGTCAGGGCGGACACCCCGCACCAGTGCCAACGCGGGCTCATGCTGCCCCCCGCCCCCCGCAGTTTTCCGGCAGCTGAACACGGCCATCGCCGTGTCGCAGATGTCCTCGGGCCAGTGCCGCCTGGCCCCGCTCATCCAGGCCATCCAGGCCTGCAGCCCC